GGCAACATGCCAGGCTGCAATGCTAAGGGTATCGATATTGATGTACCGTGCCGAGGGCTGTGCTGTGCCTGGGCGACCTGGACACGTGAAAACACGCGTTTCGCTCAAGACGTTGTCAGCACATCCTCATGCTAGACATCCGCCTGGGCAACCTGGACACGTGCAAACAAGCGTCTCGCTCGAGACATCCTCAACAAATGCTCATGCTAGACATCCGCCTGGGCGACCTGGACACGTGAAAACAAGCCTCTGGTTCGAGACATCCTCAACAAATCCTCATGCTAGACATCTGTCTGGGCCACCTGGAGGCGTGAAACCAAGCGTCTCGCTCGAGACATCCTCAAGACCTGGGCACGTGAAAACAAGCAATCCACTTGAGAGATCCTCAGAATTCAAGTCCCCAGGAGAGGACAATCTATAACACAAAACAAGCGTCTCGCTCGAGACATCCTCAACAAATTCTGAAAAACAAGCGTTTCGCTAGGGACATCCTCAATTTTAATTCGCCGGCCCTACGCGACCTCGTTATTTATCGCAAAAGAAATTCGCCGGCCCTACAGCCGTCAAAACCGGGGGGAAACAAACTAAAAGAGAACCCTGGGCCTGCGCCCTTTCCGGGAAAAAACAAATTGCCGGCGCCAGGGGGCGCAAGGCGCCCACATGTCCAGGACAGCAGCAAGTGTCTTCGTCTTGCCTGTGCCGGGTGGCCCGCGATACGGGAAGACCATGGTCTGCAGCGACTGCGAGGGGGCCGCGTTCCGCACAGGCCTGAGGTAGTGCCAGCGACGCCGCGGACACCGGCGCGGGCTGGCGCAGAGAGAATGCTTTGAAAGACGGGCCCAGGACACGCCTCGACGTCGTCGTCGCTGGGCCCAGGTCCGTCTGGCAGGGCGTCGGAACCCCGCGAATCACCAGAGTCGCAGGGGCTGGGCATCGCCTGTGCCAGGGTCGCTGCTGCCTGCTGCCGCCGCGCCGCCCCAGCTGCTGCCATAGCGGCCGCCGAGTTGACGGTTCCCAGGTTCTCCGGCGAGGTGACCCGCAGGGCCCGTTTGTCAGCCCGCAGCAGGAAGGCCTCCTTGACGGCCGCCCGAGGGCCATTTACCTGCACCTGCGGTGGGACGCGGTCGACGCGACGCGGGGCGCCGTCTGGCGCGCTAGGCCCAGCGGCGGAGGTGCACCCCACTTGCAGAATGGAGCTTAGCGAATATCACGGTCTTGGCGGGGCAGCGCCCGGGCGCGAGGGGGCCGTTGCACTTGCTAGCATTGGATTTGGAGACGCCCGGGGCATTGTGCCAATTGACCAAAGCGACCGCGATGTAGGCGGTGGCCGGGGATCTGTGCGACGAGTAGATAGGGGCGCAACCTTCCTGCTCCTTGGGCCACTCGACTGCGTGCCCGCCTGTCCAGGAGATGACGTAACATTCGCCCGTGTCTCGTTTTTGATGCGCTAAGGCTGGGGCGAGCCCGCAGTCGCAAACTATCCGGGGTGGGTCGCGGCGGTCGTACTTCTGAACGCTGACTTCTAGTGCGCACGCCCGTCGGCGTCGGGGGGCATCCCTGGCCCCGGCGGCGCCGTCGTCGGTTGGCTCTGGGCGGGAGCGCTGCTCTGTCATGACGGCCTACAGCAGCCTATTTTCCCTTTTTCTGTCCTGTATCATCTCGGGCCAGCGATCGAGGGGCAATATGGAACCTGGAATGGGCCCGGCGCGGAGGCGCGCTGCGCGCTCGTAGATGGACTACCATGGCTTCTTGAAGAGCTGGCTGGCAAACTTGGCCGCGACGATGGCTGGCCTGTCGTTGCCGACGCCGTCGCCGTCCAGGGGTTGGCCGTCGGGTCGTCGCTCCGCCGAGCCGGCGAGGCCATCGGCAGCGCTGCTCGGCCCAGGGACTGTCCGGGGCGCGCCAGGCGGGGGCCCGACACTGGGGAGCGCGGCGCGAGCTGACCTGCGCGCGTCTGCGCCAGCGGGGGAAGTGTCTGGGCGCTCGGCTGCGGCCGAGGCGTCTCGAGTCTCGGCGGCCCTGGAACCACCAAGCGTCGTCGTGATGCTGCCAGGCCGACCGCGTGGTATCTATGTCAGATATGCAGCCCAAGGGTGGAGCCCAGTCGGCGGACGCCCCGGCTAGGTGGATAGCAGGCGGGAACGGCGTCCCAGTCGTTGTCGCGCATCACCCCGTCCACGACCCTCAGCGGGGTGACAGTCATCCATCCTGGGAAAGGGAGCCTGGGCAGCTCCTGCGTAGGCCGCCCTCCTGTTATGGTCAGAGGCCGCCGCCTTGACCCGCGCTCCAGGGTCTGGTAGTCCATGGTCTACCTGCTGCTCGGCCCGCTTCCGGTGGTCGCGCCCCGCGAAGTGGGCTTCCTCGTGGACCACCTTCTGGCACAGCTCGCAGCACCACCCCACAAGGAATCCAGGCGGGCCCAGCGCATCCAGGGCGCCCTGCGGCATTGGAACTTCGGCCTGCCTGCCGGGCCTGTGGCCCAGCGGCATTACACTGGTAG